ATGGAAAACTGCTTGCATGTCCTCAGTGACTGCAGTTGGAGTAAGGGATTATAGGAAAGGCTTCTCCACTATGCCTTGTATCCCAATTTCTTCACCCATCCATTCCAGGTATGGCTGAAAGATATTCTCACAAAATGAACGAACTCGCATTTAGTTCAGAACTAGCACCTAATATTTGGGGTTGCTTCCTGGTACATATGGAAAGCAATGAATGGGCTGATTTTAATGGCAAGAGCCTGCACGAAAGAGGGACTAGCTTAGCAATAGAAAACTATGTGTGCAACATCCTAACTGTCGAAAAGCTCCTCTCCTCAGATGGTCTTTCAAATGCGCAAAAGACAATTCAAGATATAACATGGAAACACCAAAGATAAGGCTGGATTAAAGTGAATGTCAACAGTTCAAGTACTAATAGAAGGTTAAGCTCCAATTTTGGAGGAGTCTTGGGGGATGATACGAGAAAATGGACCATTGGCTTCTGTGGGAGATTAGGACATGGAAACTTATTAACTGCAGAAACTTATTTCTCAAGGGGGTGCGCAAGCTAGAAAGGAAGGATACAAGAATGTTTGGGTTGAGGGGGACTTATTGGTTGCGGTTAACCTGATATATTGAGAGGTTAACATGTTTGCTGATTGGTTAGCCTGCTATGCTCACCAGTTTGATCTCCTTTAGGATGTAAAAGTTTAACAGGTAGATATTATATGTATACAAGTTGCCCAAGACTTTATAGATTGTAGTTGTTTTATTTTCGCGAGACCAGTGACAGAAGTAGGGGCAGGAGTCTTGACCAGTGGAGTAGAGGCAAGAGTACCCTTGTCAGCGACCAAAACTTGAGAATAGGTATGGCACCCTTATTAGCCGGGGTTCCCTTGACCTTGTCGCCAGCAACAAGCTTCTTGGCCTTCGGGTCAGGAGCTTTTTTTTTTTTTTTTTGATAACAAGGAGCTTTTCTTTTCTTGGTAGTCAAGTTGACAACCACGTCCTTTTTACCCTGGCTAAGGACAGTCAGGAAGCTGGATTGTTCATTCTGCTAATTCTCCATACCTGGAACTGCAAATTAAAGATATGGAACCGGGTTATAAAGGCACATTATAACAAAATATATGTAAATGCCCAAACAAAATTCATACTTATTTCAGAGTCAAGTTTCTCTTGAGACTTGAAAATAAAGGATGCAACACTGGCATTGCCATATAACTTGATATATTCGCCCATGGCAATAATAGTGTCGACATCAGTAGAACTCAACTCGATTTCTTTAAAATGGTAACACGAGGAAGCAAAATTATAATGGTCAGACGACCAATCCAAGGGAAACTTCCCTTTCACATCTTCAGAATGAGAAGCTTTGAGAAACCAAGCTTCTTTTTCGAGTTGTGCAGAAACCTTAAAGAACTCCTCCTTAAAGTTCTTAAACAACTCAGAATAAACATGAAAATGCTTTTGACCAGCGATACCCCGGAGAGTGACCCAACCCTTCAGTTCCAGTGGTTTGCGGCCAGTTCAGGGTGTAATGGCTTGGAAAAAGAAAAAGAAGACAGAAACAGAAAAAGGTAAGGTGAGATAGGCACAAAAACGTTCAAAGGCTTTAACGAAACCCCACCCATTAGGGATGAAATTGGTAAGGAGCTATATGGAGATTGTTTAAAACAAAAATCTAGAACTCGGTCAAGGGAAACCTAATGCAAAGTTGAGTAACCAGATTCCGGTAGAAAAAGAAAAAGCAAGGTTCGTCCGAGTTCCTCCCAGAACAAACTGGCTCATCTTCACGCGGAGGAACTATATCATAATTCTCCAACTTCTCGACAGGGAGCCCAGACACATCATCCACACTTATCTCGGAGGTAGTGCTCAAAACCTCATAAGTTACCCAGGAAAACTGAGCTATTAAGGTGGCAGGAAGAGACTAAGAATCTGACTCAGCAGAATGAGACTCTTCTACAATTTTTGGTGGAGATGAAGCCATAAATACCTAAAATAAGAAAAAACTTAATCAGAAGGACAGAATGGGCATACCTGAATTAATAAAGCTACTAGAGGTAGAATAGCTAGAGGATGAAGAAGTGGGTTTGTCCGAGATTGCAATCGGATCATCTGCCTCACCAGAAGCTGAGGTGGATCCCGGAACATCTCCATGATGGCAACTAGCCAAAGTGGACTCGGCTAAGGTGTCACATCCCTTCTTAAAGAGTTTAGAACTCAGAAAGACACAAGAATAACATGGACCAACTTGCTTAGGCAGGGAGGACTTTGAAAGAACTCGGGTGGCTGATGACACATTGAGATCCGGGGTGGAAACGACACTGGAAGGGTCCAAACCAGTTTGGGGAAAATACTAGGGAACACGTCTGTTTGCAGAAGGATGACCCTTCCCTCGCTTGGAAGAACCACGACCCCGACCAGTAAGATTCTCATTTAAACCACGACTTGACAACCCGAATCTCTTTTTAGATCTCCCACCACATAACCACGAAGCATGACTTCGCGTTCCTCTTCTTCAATTCTCAGAATCCCCCAAAACCAAAATTGAACCCTAAAAGGGGCCTTCCTCAACAAGTCGGATTCATCCTCTTTCTCTCCCTCACAACGCAAAACTGAAGAAGGAGGTTTTTTCTCTCTCATTACGATAAAATACTGGAAACGACACCAAATTCAAAATAATGATGAAAGAAACGACGGATAGTGGAGAACAATGCAACTTAAATATCAAAGGTCAAACAACATGCATTCCTCTAGAAAGACAAATCACTGACGAAACTAAAAAACGCAACCAGCAAATGATTTACCAGAATGACATATCAAGAACAAAAATTCAAAGGAAAAATATTTAGAAATAAAATAGCCAAATGCAAACTACTGAAGAGGAGAAGAAAAGAAGTTGGAAGATAAAAAATGATACCTGAGTAGAAGAAATGAAGTTGAAGAGTGTATGAAAGCATGTTTGCAAATGCTAGCACTCAAGAAATTGCGCAAAAAAGAACTTATGCAGAATGACTAAGGTAAAAGAGAAAGAATGAAAACCAGGCACGTTTATATGCTGGTAGTGGTAACCGCAACAGTTACAAATTGCAAAGGTCAGAGGCATTGCAGTTATTACATCCTAAAAAGTAATGATTAGATGACTGAAATGACTCGTTCAATAAATGCGCACGAAATGCAAAAACGGCACAAAACGACTGCAACACCTTAATGCAGACGACAAGTAGCACGTGTCAAAATGAAATGATTGCCGACATAAAAGTTGCCAGAATCTTGAAAGGATCATCACATATGTAACGGGGATAATAAGAACTAGTAATAGGGATCCAGGAAATGGACACCCAGACATAAGGATGCCAAGCCGGGTTGCAGGAGCGATGTGCTTGGGGGCAACTTGCCAGTTGGATCCTAACAACTCAAGTCCATCCATAACTCGGTCAAAATAAATATGTATAGTATCTCATTGGTTGCATACTCAACCCGACGAGATAAGGGGCAATGAAGTACTATTCCCCGTTCCAGAAATTTCGAAGCTCATAACATATGCGAAAGGAGATCACAAGAACCCGAGCATTCTCGACAAAAACTCGGATTAATGCAAAAAGAAATTCACCCCGGCAGCCCGGACATCCAGGCAGCCTGGCTGAGGGGCAACTGTTATGGACCCATATAAGGGGCCCATTGGTTGACAGGCCCAACAAGGGACAATCTAAGATTTAAATCAAGCATAACTACGGAAGGATATCCATGAAGGATACCACTCCTAATATGAAAAAAATGATATATGGGCCTGGGCCACCATCAGAGGCACTAAAGGTCCAGAATCTACTCACCACAGGTAAACTCTATAAATAAGAGGTAAAATCTACAGGTACGTTATGCTTTCTCTCTAACTGTTATGCTATCACTGTGGGCACACACCCTCCCCTTGTCAAAGTCGTTATCGTTTTTTTATGTACAGTGATCTGCTTGACTCAAGGGTATATCCTCCATAGATATCTTAGAGAGGGCGCTAGATCCAAGATCAACATACTAGTCCACTGACAAGATCAATGGTCATAATTATATGTCAAAATTTATAGAAAAAGTAACATTCAAAATTAATTTCTAATTGTTGACTATTAATTGCTAACTCTTAATTTGTCATTGAAAGATTAAGATTCATATGACCTACATGTTAAAGGTAAACATGAGAGAATTGATACTTTTTTAAATCTTTTTCTTTTTTATTAAATAAAATAACAAATAATAAACTCTCGAAATTTGTTTTTAAGCCTTTATAATTAGGTAACTTTTTTAATTTTTATAATTTAATTAAATTTTAAACAGTCTAATATAATTTAAAAACTTTTAAAAGGATTTTTTTGTTTCTAGTTTTTTTTTTAATTCAACTAAGTTTTCAATTAAATATTACTAATTATAAACTTATAATTAAGTTTTAAAAACCAACAATAACAATACAAAATAGCTTCTATAATTATAAATATCCCTTATACTTTTTATGCAACTATCATTCTTTCCTTTGACGGTTACATGTTGCTTATCCGTTCCATTAGTTTTATTTTCTACAGAAAACTAGAAAAATAGGAATGTCACTTATGTGAGCATTGTATATATAAAAAAGGTTACATTTCTGTTATTGCTATATAATTTAAGCCAACAAAATGTCAAACAATTAAGCAACAACTTCTAGAGTTCTGGTTTTTTTTGTTATGAGATTATTGAGAGAATCAAGCAAAATGATTATGTTAGAAACATTTACATGTAGCTAAAGCAATTATTTCACCAGAAATGACAACATTTACAAAAAATTTATCATCTTAGGAATTTTTTTTATTTTTATATTAAAAACAGATGTTATATTTTTAACGATCATTTACACACTTATTAATATAAACTGATATTCATTACAATATGAATATGTCATAAAATAAGAAACATTTGGTAATTATCAAAACACGAATTTGGATTGAAATCAACAATTTTAAACATGATACAAATTCTAATATTATGGAGTAATACAAAAAAAATCATCAAATTATCATCTTCTCCACCTTCATGATGTTTAAATGAAAGTAAGCAAGCACCTAGCTAGGATTACAAGGTTTATTCATAACAGTTGGGAGACATGGTTTCATAATATTTTGGGAGACATATATTTAACCAAATTAAATAGATTAGAAAGCATCACATAATTTTACAATCAACAATACACAAAGGAACACAGATTGCACGACTCACATAAGGATTACATAGTTTCGTAACAATTGGGAGACAAACGCGGTTTAACCATAATCTCAAGTGGAGAAGCTTTGACATTGCTCAATCCAAAGGATTCAGTCATGTCAATAGGTTCAGAAGATGGGTTCAAGATTTCAAAGGAATGCAAAAAACTGGCCAGAGTTAAATGAACAATGTGTAGGCCAAAGGATATTCCAGGACACATCCTTCTACCACTTCCAAATGGTAACAACTCAAAATGATGACCCCTAACATCAATATCTTTATGAGTTGTAAGGAACCTTTCTGGTTTAAATTCCATTGGATCTGACCACACATTAGGGTCAGTGTGAATCTTCCAAAGATTTGTGATTAATCGAGTTCCCTTTTTAACATCATAGCCACCCAATGTGCAATTGTTTATGAATTCACGAGGTCCCGATAGAGGAGCTGGTGGATACAATCTTAGTGTTTCTTTGACTATAGCTTGGAGATATACTAGTTTACTTATATCTGACTCACTAACACTTCTCTCTTTCCCAACTTGTGTGTCAAGTTCTGCTTTTGCCTTTTCCAATATAAGAGGATTTCTCAATATCAAAGATAATGCCCATGTAAGAGTAACACTGCTTGTGTCAGTTCCTCCCACAATTAATGTCTGCAAATTAAGTACAAATTTCGTAAGAAAAATATTCCAATTATCTTCGGGAAACTTTATATTAATGTAGGTTTAACTAGAAATAATAGACTCAGCTTTTGTAAAGCAAGAAATAAAGCAAACAAACATGTTATTTGCACGTTAAAATAATTTGTTGTAATTTTCACACCGCTTGAATCTCTCTCATTTTTTTCTTTATTAGTTTAGTATTAACACTTGAGTTTAAAATGTTTGGAGGTGAACAAAGAATATTTAACTGGGAAGCAAGTAATTGTATCTACGGAATGAAGACTGAAATAGCTGGCAATGAGAAGTGGACTATCTTAAACCAATGGTCCAATGGTATGAATATTAGGAGTGTGTGTACATTTGGAGATGATAAATGCTCTAGGGCTCAGATATGCAATATGATGAAGATGGTCTCCCGTTGATCACTATTAATAAATCTTTAATTCACTATGTATTAAGGGCTAAATTAAGCAATTAATTAATTTAAATTCAGTCAAAACACATGAAAATTATAATTTATTTATTGATTTATTCTCAGGAATACTTTTATAAAATTATTGTATTTTGTAGGAATTTTTCTAATTAAAAAATACCTAGACTAAAGACCAAAGGAAGTAACAAGAAGAGGAATTGGTGTTGGAGCTTTTAGCGCTAATCTCTCTCACAAGATGACGCTAGAAGCACCAAATTCTTTTTATTTGTTCATGCTGTGAGTAAAGTCAATTCCAGCGACACCTTTTGAACCAAATTCACTCACAAGATGGCACTTTAAATGCCAAGAGTCTACTTTTAGTTATTTTGCGCCACTGTTGCCACGTCCTCAAGCTTGAATTTTGAATCAAATAATTGGATCACAAATCTTGTTGAAAATTTAATTGGAGATTTTAAAGGGAATTTTCTCTTCAATATAAAAGGGAAATATTTTGAAAACAAAAGCATTATTCTGGAAAGAGAGATATTCGAGCACAGAGGCAGAGAGCAAAGAGCAACAAACGGAACTCAGAGATTAGAGATAGTGAACGAATTGAAAGAGGATCGAAGCGAAAACGTGGAGATTCAACATCGTTTTTCATCCAGGAATTTAGTTTAATTGTCCTTTATTTTCTTTTGACACTTTGTTAAAGCCAGATATGTTTATGTTTGGCTAATTTTTTTGGTAGTTAGGGATATGGATCCAATGATTACTCTTATGATGATTTAAAATATTTTTCAATAAAACTTTGTCTCAATTGTTATATATTTATCCTGATTTATTTGTTCAAATTTCTTATATAACTTGATTAACCATATAGGAATAAAGAAGGTAAAATTCTAAATAGAAATATTTAGAATTTTAATCGAACTAGGATAAATATCAATTTTTGCTTGTTCTAGACATAAACTGGTGAGAGTTGGAGACATGTGAAATTCATCGCGTTTAAGGCTTAATCTAAAAAAGGTCTATAAGAAATTAGGATTCTAATTAAGTTAAAGGGTTAAATAACTAAGACATTAGAAATTTAACTAATTAATAATTAGATGATGAATCATTTGATAACAAGAGGGTTAGAATTTTCTTGAATTAATTTATTTCACTTAAGGGGAATAAGAGGTGAAGTATACCCTAGCTGCCTTTTTCTTCTCGATCTTAAAACTCAATTCTTGATTTCAAACTTGTCTTTTAATTAATTTCTTCTACTGTCACTATTCTGTTATTTATAAGGCCCCGAGAGGGACGATTGTAGAGATGGAAAGTGACCCTAAAGCAGTTATCTTACTGATGGCTATATAGGATCATGGGTTGCAAACCCATGTTATGGGTTTGCAGGATCATGATATGGCCGGTGGTGGCTTCCTTAGACAGAAGCTCCAACCTAGTGCCGGGTTGGACTAAAGAGCCCTAATGTCACCTGGGATTCTCCGCAAACAAAAAAACACTATGACATTAGGGCATTTGGTAGAGGAGATATATATTTTTTATCGAAAAAAAAAATATTTTCGGAAATATGGTGGGAATTTTTTTCTCGGGTAAGTTATAAAAAGATGTTTGGTAGGCCAAAATTTTTTCAAAAAATTGGGTTAAGTTTACTGATGCTATATTTGATTGATAGTAAAATATTGATAGAAATATGAACTGAAAGGACAAAATTATCTATTTTTCACATATATTGATATATTGTATGAAGACATTTTTGTCTCAAAAAGTGAAAATGTGTTTCCTAGTTGGTGGGAAAAAAATAATACCATGGGTGGGATGAGATTATTTTTTTTCCAAGTGTAGTTAAAAACGTAAATGATAGGGAAAAAAAACTATCTTGGGATAATTTTACTATTATTCATACCAAAGAAGATAAAAAAAAAAATCCTTACTCCACTTTAGCAGGATTTCCCCCAAAATATTCGTATCAAACACCCCTAAAAAAATTATAATTTTGGTAAGGGTTTTAACATGTGAATACTATAGGAAAAGCTCTGCATATATGTTTTGAGGAAATAACATTTTTTAATAGGGAACTAAGTCTATATATACATACCCATATTGTGGCTTTGATTACGGTATTAGTATCAAACTCATCAATTGTTGTTCCATCAAACACTGAAAGCATCACGTCCATCAAATCTTGATCACGATCAACCTTTTCATCCAAAGTCCTGTTCTTGCAGTGTTCCTCTAACCACTCACCTAAAATTCTATCGAATTCCTTTGCAGTTTCCTTCATAGCCTTCTCATGGCCACCGAAATCAAACCATCTCAGATAAGGAATAGCATCTCCCACAGTGAATTCCCCCGTCAAACGCATGAACTCTCTCAAAGCCTTTATACATCTCTGTCCTTCATTCTCATCAACACCAGTCTCATCACCAAAATATCTCTTCCTAACGGCCATTCGAAGAACCATGTTGAAAGTTAACTGAAAAAACCACTGCTTCATATCCACCAACACATAGTTACATTCGTTCCTTCTTTTGCACCAAACATTGAAAAGCTCTTTAATCGATGTTTGAACTTCCAACACACGAAAATCTCGTAGTTGATCAACTCTGCGACTTGAGAAGATCTCTAGAGTTGCAACCTTACGCAGTTCACGCCAATAAGGACCATAGGGTGCAAAACTAAACACGGCTTGGTTGTAACTCATGTGTTCAACTGCAACAAGTTTTGGTCGAGATGAAACGGCCATGTCGTTTGTGGTGAAGCATTCTTTAGCCATTTCCCAATTGCTGAGTACCAAAGTTGGTGTGGAACCAAGCTTTATGGTGAATAGTGGTCCACATTTGTCAGCCATGGCACCCAATGTTCTATGGGGTGTCGTTGAATTTGAACCACTCAACATTAATGGAAGATGACCAAATATAGGCCATGCACCTTCCACTATTGGAGCCTCTCTACTATGATCAACTTTGGAAGGACGACATAGTATGAACAAACGCAAGATGATTAGAGAAAGGAGTCCAATTATTGTAGTGTTTAGGTAATTTAGAACTAAATCCATTTGAATTGGTTTGAGGATAAAGAATAAGGTTGTGTATATATTGCTGGGTCTGGAGAGAGATAAATATCTGAAAGGCTTTGATACATGGTTTTGAGTATAGCTCTTCCAAGTATATCGACATATGTTTTTTGTGGCCAAAATGAATTTGTCTGGTAGTGTCCATTTTTTTTATTTATAAATTACATGTTAGGAGATAATTTTATTCGAGGCAAAAATATCTACATCATCATAGTATGACTAACTCTTCCAATTTTTTGTTTTCGACATTCACCTTACTTAAATGAAATATACCACTTGAACTAGCTCCATTTGATCTAATGACTAATGGTGTCTATTGACTATTATATAACCTGACTTTTTTTATTGAATAAATATAATTTAAAGACTTTTATTATTATTATATGTCAAATTTAAGGAAATATTTTCAGTATTCGCGAAGTACTCGATACTCTTTTTATCGAATATAACAAAAAAAAAAAAAAATTGTTACATTATGCTTGGTTTTATATTTATTTCCGTTCATATCCCACTTTTTTTTTCTGTATTTGGGGGGACCATGTGGGAAAACTGAAAAGTTCTCCAATTTTTTTTTTTTTTGGAAATATCTCTTTACCCGTTCAAATAAGCATATGTAAAGTATTTTTATTATTATTTAAAGCTAGTGGGGAAATTTACTGTTGAAATGCATTATCAATTGATAAAACCTCTTATGCTGAGAAATCCAACAGGTATGTTTATTTGGAAAGAAAAGAAGATCAGATGGTAGCTATGAGGGTAGAAGATCGGGTGACGGCGGCTGTGGTATTTGGGTAGAAAAGGAAAGATAGGGTAACAGGCGAATTCAGTTTAGGTTGTTTCTTAGGTGGTGTTTGGTTGGGGATAAGTAAAAAATTTGATGGGTAAGTGTATGTGGGTATCTGTCTTCACCATGTTTGGTTGAGGATTTTCAATAGATTTTCCCATCTAACTCACTTGGCTAGGAAACGAGAAAGAGGACCAAAAACTGGAGAAATGCACTGTTCAGAATCCTTTTGAAGATGTGGAATTGTTGTTCAAAATCGGATAAATGAAAAAGGTGATGAAATGTTGGTCAAGTTTACCCCTGCTTCAGTTTACTGCGTTTACTGCATAAGAAAAAAAAATAGGTTCTGAACCGTATAACACGGAGGTGTTTTTTCGAGGATATTTTTGTAAATTTCATTAAATTTTCTCATCAATATTTTATCTTCAACCAAACACACATTCAGAAATTTAATTCAATTTTCCTGGTAAAATTTTGCCCAACCAAACAACTTTTTTACAACTTTCCTATCTAACTCACTTTTCCTCGAGATCCCTAGTATTTACATTTCCCTAGTATTAAAAAATTTATCCCCAACCAAACACTACCTTAGTCTTTCACATAGAGATGTGTAAATTAACCAAAAAAAAAATTGAATTCAACTATGAAATCAAATTGAACTGGATTTAAAATTGATTTTTAAAGAATTAGAACCAAATTGATTTTTAAAATTAATTTAAAATCGAACTGTTTTCGAACCGAACCAAATTGATTTTTATAACTTATTTTTAAAATTTTTAATTTTCTTTTCTTTTCAAAGGTCAACCCGAATTGATTCCGAACCGAATCATTTCTAACCGAATCGAATCAGTTTTGAATCGAATCGAATCATTTTCAAACCAAATCATTTAAACCAATTCGATTCATTTTTTTTAAAAATTCAATTCGATTCGACTCATGAACATTCCACCTGTAAGTGAATTGGTGTCTTCACATTTTTGCCCCACTACAGAGTTCTTGAAATATTTTATTTGGTGTCTTCACATTCCTCCTGGGGCATGTAATGTTTTGCCCCACTACAAAGTTCTTGAAATATTTTATTAAATATTTGATCAGTAAAATAGTTTATATAAGCCAATAAGTTAGCTATCAAAGAAAGAGAAATACGCTGTACAAATTGAGAACAACTCTTAAAAAAAATGTATTTATATTATGAAATTTAAATATTTGATTAACCATATAATTTATTATGAATTGTTATATGTATTAAATGTAAATTATATTAATAATATTTAATATTAAAATGTGTCCTAACGTATTAAAATTTGACATTTTTCTGGGTAATGAAATTTAACATTTTTTAAGATTAATGTCCCGTCATTTGTGTCGTGTCCTATATCAGTATCGGTGCAACATAGACTATTAGTCACTCACTATATATCTGGCTAAAGCACCCTTCTAAAACTGTTGGATAAAAGAATTGTTCAGTTAGAGCTGATTAGATAAGTTTTTTCAAACTAATGCAGCCAAACACGTCACTGTTACTGATGGGACTAGTCTCGTCAATGATCCCCACGGGACTGATGACATGTCAGTGCCACGTTGGCAGTCCTATCATCATAAAATTTCGGAAGGCAATAACTCTTAACTCGGGTATCCCAATCAGGTTTTTTTTATTTATTTCACTTAACTTTTCGAGGTCTACGCAATGACACTTCATTTGACATATAATATCTCCCACAAACATAGTTCAAATTTGCAACAATAGTTCCACAATCATAAGAGCATTTAAACCTAGAAGCTCATAAGTTCTTTCCAAACCGACACCTTGAGCTGGAGCACGTGCAATCAATTTCTTGGCCTAGTTTTCCCACAACTAGCCTCTGAGGCAACGATTTTTTTAGCAACAAGATTAATATTTTAGGGCTTTTCATACGAAGAAACATTGTTATCTGTTGTTGCCTATGCACATTGATGGAAAGGAAACCACTGTTATTATTTGTTATTGTTGAATAGTTGATAAATAAGAAAAAGGATTAAATAACATCATTCACATAGATAAAACGTGTCAATCGATGACATGTGTTGTAGCTCATGACGTTGGTTCAAAAAGAACTCTGGATTTTCTGGATTTAAACGCTCTTGTGATTGTGGTACCATTATTACAAATTCAAACTATGCTTGTGAAAGATAAAATATTTCAAATGATGTGTCATTACGTGGGACTCAAAAAATTATGTGAAATAAAAAAATTCATTTGATTTGGACACCTAAGTCAAAAATTATCGTCTTCCAAAGTTTTATAGTAATGGCATTGCCTACATGGCGCTGACATGACATTATTCCCGTTAGGATCATTGACGAGACTATTTTCATCAATACCAATGACATGTTTGACTACATTAATTTGAAAAAACTTATACAATCAATTTTAATTGGACAATTCTTTCATCTAACAATCTTAGAAGGGTGCTTTTGCCCTATATATCTACATGACAAATATGCAAAAGCATCTAAGCAATTTTAGCATCCTCTTCTACCACACAGGAAAAAAACTATCATCATAAAGATTTGAAAATTTGAATGGCAAAGTTAACAAGTTCGGAATCATTTGACATTTGATCTTTGCCAATCATTTCATTTACAATGATTTTTTCTTTTTCTTTTTCTTTTTACTTTTTTAAGAGTAGAAAAGGGAGTTATGATGTTCCTCAAACAACCAAATGATGTCCTTTAACACCTCGTGTTAACCCGGTTTGTTAACATGTCATTGTATTAAGCCACACTTAATTAAAAAATGCGGAATAACTTTCTACTTTCATTTATGACGTCATTATACTTAGCCAAGTTGATTACTTAATCAATTTTCATAAAACATCGCCTGTATGTAAATTGCGAAAGACAGCTAACTGAAATACCTCATAAATAAATAAGTGAGTATCTAAGTCACAGATCTACAACACGTAGTCCGGACATAATCCTGATACAATTATGCAACTCGAAACAAGTAAAAACATAAAGTCAAGTCATGGTGGCATGGACAATCCCTATGCTCACCAAATAAGGCAACAAAGCCCAACCAGATTCTCAAATCAAATAGCATAAGCATGATAGAAAACATAAACAACATCCAATATCCAGTCATGTCAGCATACAGCATAAAATAATCAACTAAGCTCTGGCCTCCTACCGCCAGAGGCATCTGCCCCCAAATTACCTGAACCTGAAATAAGTGTCCCCAAACATGGGGTGAGATCTCTAAACAAGAAATCTCAGTAAGACAAGGGGTCCTCAAGGATCTTCCACCCCAAGCTCACTTACATGTGCAATATAAGTTCTAAAAGCAGTTAATCAATATAAGTTCCAAAATAGTGCAATGCAGCAGATAATCATGTCATGTGTGTTCTAACAATTCTAGTGATCAGATAAGTGCAGGAATACGTCTATTACCCACACAGTATCAGCATGTTGTACCCGCCCACAGGACCACCCCATGGCCTCTTGTTTAGGCGTAACACCACATACATATCATAAGCAAATTGCACTTAACAACTCAATAGCATTTCAATAAAATAATACATGAAAACAACATCATGCATATAAACCATCCCCCATAGGACATGGTAGAACAAACAATGGCTAAACCGAGGACACGAAAGCTTACCTTGCATGCTAGCTATCCAAGCCAAGAGTCCACACAATCTCAAAGTCCAAACACAGCAGGATCACAATCTGTTTCGGACTAACAATATATCAATAATCATACTTAACAATCATATAGAACAAAGAAAGCGCCTTTCCTTTACGTTTTACGTCTTTAGGCTCCTCACAAAGCGACAAGCCCTTAATCACTTAGATTCTGACTTAGATTAGTTATAACAGAAGTCCCCTTGGACCAAACATGGGTCCACAAACTTAGAATATCATTCTGTATGAACAGTACCTTCACTGTCCACGAAAACCCAGAATATCCGGATATTCCTCGGGGACATATTCGGATATCCATATCCAGATATTTCCATACCCCATATCCGGATATCCAGAAGCCCATATCCGGATATCGATATTTGGATCTCCATATCCGGATATCAATATCCGGATATTTCTATCCAAATATTTGGATATTTCGCGACAGATTTTTCATTTTCGCAAAGATATCCCTTCAAGGTTCCATTTTTAACACTTTAAAACGTTATAGCATGCATCTCTAAGTCCATTTAGGTTCACATATCAGTTGGTTACTTAAACCATTCATTAGACATGCCAA